TCAGCAAATCGTGTGCCAACCCTGAACATGAAGAAGCCCCGAAGAAGCCGACCATGAGTTTTGAACAGAGCATCAAGAGCATCGGCATCCCCATCAGCAAATCCAAGGCCCTGGTTTCTCATTTGCAAAACTCACCTGCTCTGTGCGATATATACAAGGAATGCAACGAAATGGGGTGCATCACGTTCAATGTTCCTTCTCCGAATGCACTGGCTGGAAGAGTGTTGCAGCATGCTGTGAAGGAGATAGACATCATCCTCAGTGTGCAAAAGCCTTGTATCTTCAAAGTCGGATTTACTCATAATCCAGTGTGGCGATGGAACAACAAGATGTATGGATACGGGCAAGGACGAGAGAAGTGGAGTCACATGATCATCCTTTACATATCAGAAGAACATTGCGGTCCAGCGATGCTAGAAGCGGCTCTCATTGAGAAGTACAGTAGTTACTTGGATTGCAAAATACGAAGCTTGTGGTCTAAACTGATCCTGTGTAGTTTCGTATATTTTTTGATTCAAGGTATGGAAGGATGCCGAAACATCAATCGTGGTGGAGACAATGTGCAATGCAAAGACATACCTGACAGTCATTATATGACGTACATCGTGTACAGATCTTTCAAGGTTCCGCCACCGGTGAAGAAACAATAGTTTTCATGTGTGGCACAAGTTTCACTCCAAAGGCTCCAGGGCTCGAGTAAAATGATTTGCTGTGTGATGGTCTGCACTCGCGAGCCTGCACTGCTAGTGAAAGCATTCTCCTCGATTCAAGCCTTAAGTTTGAAATTCAAGTTTCGTTTGCCGAGGCCACATGCAGATCGGCGATTCGCACGGCCCGCAACCTGGTTTCGGACCTGGGGGACCAGGCAGGCTCCGTTGCAGGCCTGCGAGAGCTAGCTAGCTGCTCGGAAACTCATTCGGAAAGAGATACAAACCGGCTCCTCACTGGCAAGTTTGGGCTAGCACTGCCGATTCCAATCAAAACGATTCCAGGTATGGACGGAGGGCTGCCGATATTTCGTTTACGGGATTGGCTGAGCTTTCTTCTGAAGATAAACGGATGGCATCATTTATGTGGGCTGAAATCATCTGACCCTCCAAGAGAGAAGGCGATTTGGTCGGCTTTTTGGGAAAGGTACCGTGCTTTGGACCCAGGGCATGATATATTCAAAAAAGCTGATGAAGGGCTTGTGAACCTGGAACGCTGTGCAGCAATGTTGCTGCATGGCGACGAAGGTAGAGGCAGAAGGCGGCAGGCCTTTATGGTGGTATCGTACCATTCTTGTTTGGGCAGAGGGACAGCAGCAGCGCAACGAGCGAGCAAGGCCAGCAAAGTCAAGAAGCCCTACCTCAAGATGAAAACGAACTTTGCTGGACATACATATACAACACGTTTTTTGGCTGGAGCCATGACAAAACAGATGTATCATGACAACGAAGATATGTTTGCCAACCTGATGACATCGATTGCGGATGAAGCTTTACACCTTGCAACCTGTGGGGTTGCAGACCGCTATGGGCAGAAACACTGGATGGTTATTTTGCGAACTGTGGGCGACTGGCCTTGGCTCCATCGTGCTGCAAAATTGAAGCGCACATATGCAAATGTAGTCAAGCGTTTGGACCAAAAGGCAGGTGGCATCTGCCACTTGTGTGATGCTGGCAGTGATGACGTGCCGTTCGAAGAAATTGGCACACGCAGGCCACAGTGGCTTGCCACGATGTATCGGACTAGCCCTTTCGAAGCTGCTCCTTTTATGGCACGGGCTCCCCACAACCCTCAACAACTTGCCGCACATTATGCATTCGATGTATTCCATACAGTTCAGCTGGGCATTGGACGTTATTTGACGGGGACCATGCTTGCACTTTGGTCAGACCGTGAAACTGGCAATGTCGAGGACAGGTTTGAAGCCCTCACCGTCAAGTACAAGGCCTTTTGCAAAGCGACCGGTCGAGCGACGCATGTATCTAGGCTCACGAAAGATTTGATTCAATGGGGGTCCACTACAGACTTTCCAGCTGCCAGCTGGTACAAAGGACACCTGACGACCACTGTTATGGAATTTCTTCAGCATTTGGGAGAGTCTATCGACTTGGAGGGTGATGATGTGGAGCTTTTGCTGTCGATGGGAACAGAGGCGGTTGTTGCGCTCAACGATTTTATGCGATTGCTTTACGAATTGGACGTTTGGGTTCCACCCGATGATGCTCGTCGTGCCGGCGAACTCAGTGCTAAATTCTTGCGCCGCTACAACGATTGCGCAGTGCGAGCGAGGAGCCTGCAGCGCACACTTTTCCCAATCCAGCCGAAATTCCATTGTTTACACCACCTGGCCCTGGAGTTGCTCCGGGCGAGCAACTTGGGGCTTCATGCCCTTAATCCGATCGTCCTTTCCACACAACAATCAGAGGACTTCATAGGACGTCCCAGCAGGCTTTCGAGAAGGGTGTCTTCAAGAGGAACCGTGGTTAGGGTTATGCAGCGCTATCTGCAATCCTGCTATACAGAGTGGGTGAAGGCGGGTTTGCTCGTCGAAGCTGCAGGTCCGCGAGAAAAATAGAGTGAACATTATCAGAGCATCAGTTGCAATGCAGAGCATCAGACAGGACGAAGGATGGTCCCAACTTTTCATCATCGGAGCATCAGAAGATCATTAAAGAAACAACCCAGTACCCAAAACCATGTTTCCTCCTCTCCTCAAAACCCCGTGTTCTGTGCAAACCTGCGTTCTGGAAGTGAAACCCCGTGTCCTGACCCAGACCCTACTTTTTTTGCGGGTCCAGGTTCTCTAGGTATATATATATATATATGACCCATTATACCTGTATCTGTATCGACACTTATACCTATCTCTGTATCTGTATATATATATATATACGATACCTCGTGTTTGTACTTCTTATCTGTGTGTATGTATGGGTTGTAGGATTAGGTTCGATTGGAGCTTAGAGTTGCGGGAATATGTCTATGTGCTGCATTATTATGTGCTTGTCGACGGTCGATGGTGTGATCTTCCGCAGTTCGGATCCCAAAGGTCTCAAAGGTTGACAAGACACCGGCGTCAGCAGCACCATCACTCTCCATCGTGATGCCCCAATCCTGATTCGAGCTTAGGGTTTAGGGCCTGAGGGTCTTGTGGTCGTAGGGAATTCGGGCTTGTGTTTTGGGATTTTGGAGTTCGGGTTTACGGCTTGTCGACGCATACATACATGCATGCATGCATGCATGCATGCATGCATGCATGCATGCATGCATGCATACATACAGCTGCGTGCATACATACCTACCTACCCCGAAATCCTGAACGCTAGCCTTGAGCATCCCATTTTTCGACCGCAAAGGGGTTCCCTTATTTAGGTACAGCCCGGCCAAGCTACAAGCTACATTGGACCAGTACATCCACGAAAGGAGGGTAGGGGTTAAGGCGTGATGGAAGTAAGTTAGGCTTTGCGGCTTTTATGTGCTTGAGCTCTTGGGTGTTGGATCGTCTGTCTGGGTCTCCTAGACTCGCTGACTCAAGATGTCAGCAACAGTGGTCGGAATCCACGGTACTCGCTCTGCACTGGCGGTTGAAATATATTTCAACACATCACGGGCTCAGGTGCGGTCCTGACAAAGCCCGGACCCTGTAAAACCCATCTAACGCAGCCCGACATGTCCTTGCTGACTACTGCTGCCCCTGCCTACAAGAACCAGACAGAGCAATAGTAAATCCAAACCGTCCCTTCGGATTGGATACCAGCAGGAACCCAGCGACTCGATTCAAGCAACAAATCGTAGAGCATTCTCCGCCAATCAGTTGTCCAAGCTTCAAGAGCACCGTAAGCTAGATATCAAAAGCTACTTTGTTTTGTGGGGCACGTAAGTTGGTCCTTTTTCGTTCAGGGGGGTCATGTCAATACCCTGCAACCAAAATGCAAACTGTACCCAATATCCCAAGCTCGCAATAATAGTGGTCTGAGAGCCCTAAAAGACAAGCCGCCGAACTTTCAAGCTCTATACGCATGAGCTCTTTTCAGATTTTACATGCTGTTGGGGTTGAATCAGCTGGACCTCGACCCTAATGACATGCACCATGCCTCCCAGATGGTAGGTCATCAAGTATATTCGATCATAGCTGCCCATGTTCTGTTCTGTCCTACAAGTAGTGGTGATACCAGATCTCCTGCATAAGTATCGTAGAAGAGTAGAAGACTCACCTTCACCCAAACTACGTCGATCCGAACCCGACCTGTGGTCTTCATGGATTCTTCGTGCACCCGGGCCTTTGTCATGGGGGCCCCTAACCATAAAACAAGTACCGAAAGTCACTAGTCACTGCAGGTGGAACTCTGTGCCCGACAACCCCCAAGCCAGGGTTTAGGGTTTAGGGTTCAGAGTTCCGGGTTTGGGGTTAAGGGCTCAGGATTTAGGCCACTCCCAAAGAGCTGGTGAGCTTACCAAGTCCCGGACTATTGTCGCGCTGGCTCCTGCTGCTACCTCTGAGGAGTTTACGAAGGCACAGTCAAGCAAGGCTTAATGCTTCTAGTGTTCTGGGGTTCAGGATTGGCTTAGGTTTCGTTGTACGTGCACCAGTCTTTGTACCCTGCTGCTCCTAGCTTTCGGCTGTCGTGTAGACGCGACTGATTATTTTCTTCACATACTAAGTTACTTTCGGAGGATGCACAGCCGTTTGCTCAGTTGGGAAACTTCCGGCTGCGTACTTACCGTGGTGGTTTTGCTGTTTCTATTTTTCGTGGAACTCAACAACTCTTGCGAACAAAGACAATGTTCGCAGCCTTCAGGTCTACCGTCAATGAAAGAACCATGCATCAACCCCAAACCATGAAGTACAATCCTGGGCGACTGCCTGCTTCCGGGTTTAGGGCTCTTGGCTCAAGACTGAGAGCTACATACCCATAGGCCCTATATAGTTCCTCTTTATGGCTTTATAATGCTTTATATTTATAGAATCCTAATCCTATAAGGTAATCCCAAAAAAAGGAGTTACTTAGGGGCCTATGGGTATCTCGGACCATCTCCGAAGCTCGGGTCCGGCAATCACCGACAGCGCCAGACATCCACCCGCCGCCATTTTGGTTTAGGGTTTATAGGGTTTAGGGTTTAGGGTTTAGGGGTTTAGGGTGTTAGGGTTTAGGGTTTAGGGTGACCTGCAAACCCAAAACTTAATCCGACACCCTATGATTTAGGGATTAGGGTTTAGGGTTTCCTTAAACCCTAAATACAGACCTGAAGCGGCTATGAACCCTGCACCTCTCTTACCCTGAAGTGTCGCCAGCCCCCTTCGTGCCATGGTGCCTGCTCAGCAGCCACGGGCTGCGGGCGCCGCGCTCTCCTACCTTTGAGCATCTATGGCTTTTCGGTTTTCGGCTCTTCGGTGTAAACCCTAAATCCTAAACCGTAGCTTCGGGCTTTACAGGCTTAGGACTGTGGGGCAGAGGCACCGGGATCTGAACTTTTGCCCAAGCCAGAGCATGTCTAAGCCACTCAGATCGACACGTGCTTGGAGGTCTCGCGTCGAGGATGCAGGCTTCGGTTCAGGGATTGGGACGCAAGGCGGAGGTTTAAACTGCATCCAGGATTCGAGATTGAAGTTTGGGGCACGTGATTGTGAAATTTGATGGCAGGGCTGCAGCATTTGCAAAAAGCCTAAAGTTTCAACAAGGTAAGGCTGAACATGCACGGGGCTTATGCATCAAGGATGCAGAGGATCGGGGTTCGAATCTAAAGACTCATACTGCATGTGGAGGCGGTGCGGATGCCTTGGGATTCTAAGTTATGACTGAAGAAGCGGTGGTGTCTTATGGCGGTACGACTGCTGCATGACCAGTAGAAATCGAAACATCGGTTGCGATGCGGTCAATTATACGGTATGTATTACCGCTGGGGGAAGCGCTCTCGGCATCAACCCTGGCAGTGCGGAACTCGGGCACCTTCCGAAAGCAGAAGACGCGGATTTGCTGTTGGGGTCTTGATAATTCGACAAGGTTTGGGGGGTTGTATGAAACTACGCTTTTATCTTCAATTTTTTCAAAAAAACTTGATGGGGACTGTAAGGGTAAACTTTCTGACGTTTTGCTAGTTCTGCAGACCTCTATAGCAGCTTCAGATGAATTTAAATTCCAAGGTGGAAGCCATGGGTTCGATGCATGTTGGCACATCTCCGACAAGTCCAGAAGGCAATCTTCACGGCGAAGGCTCGGATCGAACATGCTTTGAGAAAAAACATGTTGTGTCGAGTCCCGCGAATGCTAGGAAAATTGTGAGTCCAACAACATGTGGCGGTGGCACAACAAGAACGAGATCTCCAGGCCTGTTTGCCTGAACTTGAATGGGGGTTGTCCGAAAATGGGGGACCCTCATATAGCACCCCAAATAGTAGGATCCTTATTACAAGGACCCCAAAAAATAAGGCACCCTAAGTTTCGGAA